TTGATTAACTTTTATAACCTTAAATATATGTTTAATTTAAGGATATAAGTTTTATTTACCTAACGCTGGAATTCTTTTCCGATTTAAATTGCACCTATCGAGCAAAAAGGAAAAAGTGCGAAGGTGAAATACTCCTATCCAAATTGATTTTGGATTCATCCTCCCGCACCAACAATACAATATTTTACCCTCCTCTCTGATATTTCACACAATACAATATACAAACCAAAAGAAAACACCAAAAAATAAAAAAACGTAAAAACTCTTTCTCTTTATCCAGAGTTTTTTGCCTACTTTTTCTTGGAACAAATGCTTCGCACAATAGCCTTCTTCTTAGATGACAATATACTTCGTCTAGTTATTCTTTCTCAGTTTGTGTGGGATTTGGATTCATTAATTATAAAAAAGGTTAGTTTACTTGAAATCCTAAGTATCAGTTAATCATCATTTCATCCAAATTAAAATATTTTTTAAAGGGTTAAAGAGTTGATCAATATCTCAATATAATTATACTTGCTTTTTAATTATGTGAATCACTCATATAAAAGAAACTAAATTTAAAAAAAAAAAAAAAAAACCTCAGTTGCTACCATTATAATAAGATAGAGATACACTTATAAAAACCTTAAAATATAAAATTGTGTTCTTAGTGCCTAACTAAGAGAAGATGAGAGGAATAGTACGAGCAACTAGATCGTTGTTATATAATCATTTATAATGGGATCGAAAGATTATGAGATCTCATCTTTGATGAGTATAATTCTTTTCCTTTATAATTTACGTGGAATTTGATGGACCAATAAGTTATCACACGTGCCTTTCTCATCAAAACTTGACTTCTCAAGCCAAAAAATGACTGGTAGTTTTAAAATTATATATATTTAGTAAATATTTTCAATATGTTTATATTTATAATGACAATCAATAAATTATATGATCGGTCAACCCTACTGTTAAATTATTTGTCATGACATATTTTTCCAAATGGGTAAGAAGAATAAGAAATGTACCAAGACATCACGTTTAAAGAGGTATTAAGTGGATGTGATCTAATAACATTTTTGTACCTCATAAAATAAATTTAATGGAATTAAAAATAATATGGGTTTGATTGAACCCGTCATTAGTACAGTAGATACCCCCCTGATGGTTTATGTTCTTCTTTATGAGCATCACTTTCTGTTATTTCATCATGTTTTAATTATGGTGTATTTGTTTGAACCTGTATTTTTGTACTACCATCGTATATCTTAGTGAAGACTGAGCCCTTCAAAAGATAGATATTTCTCTAATTAATACATGTTGGATATAACTGTACTAATATTTTCCTAATATGGATTTCCATGAAAGTTCTAATTCGAATCAAGTTCCAATCTTTACAGATATTATGTCCTGCATATTCTTGAAGTTAGACTGTACGATTACATTGGGTTTGTTATTATTGTGTATATATTCTTGAACTTACAAACTACACTAATTCCACATGGTCTTACGCCTCACTAAATATTCTAATAATAGGTTTTCAACCATTAATTTAAAGGTAATTAATTTCCATCATCACATAAATTATCAATCAAAAGTTCCCTAACTATGTGATTTCAGAAAATTTAGTTTCCTTTTGGTCTTCTACATTATTTCAAAACATTATTACTGACTTGGTTTGAACTCCATATTATGCACTTACTCAACACAGTATATATGCCTGATTGTTCAAGTTTAATATTGCATGATTGTTCGACTACATAATGAGGATTCATATATTTTACTAGCAAGATTATGAGAAAATGCCACAAGCAGACACATGAAAATCTAATAATGAATAAAAAATGTCCAGGTTTGTCCAAGTATGTTTTGCTTGAGTCGTTAGTGTTGATGAACAATCCAATCTTAGCAAGACCAGTAATGGAAGTCGAATTTACATAACTAGCATACACGTGCAATGCACGTGAGGAGAAACTAGTTATTATAAAAGTGAGTCCATTACTCAAATGGTCACTCAATTATCCCAAATTATCTCCTAAAGTCACTTTTCTTTCGTTTGTAACAACAAAGTCACTGAACTATGCTTATTGCACTCAGAAGGTCACTTAACTAGATTTTCCAAATTTTGGATTGCCAANATTTATACTAACTCATATACAATTTTTAATATAACAATTACGTAATCTTAAAAAATATTATATTTATAGAAATGAGGTACACGCGCAATGTGCATAAGCTCAAACTAATACTATATTAAAAGCACGAAGGTCCATAGGTTCGACTTTTTTACCCTTTAAAAACATATTTTACACTAGACAAAATTATCATTTAATTATTTTTCCTACAATTTAGGAGTTTAAAAGCAACTAAAATTATGACCTTTAAATATTTTTCCTATTTGAACTGTGTGGGAATTCCTAATATTTAGGAGTTTAAAATCGATAATATTTTTTCTTGTATAAATTCTTCCTTATTTGAACCATATAACACTAACGTTTCAACAAGCATAAAGATCCCAAAAAAAAATAGTCATTGATTTTTTACTATTTTAAAATCAATTTTTATTTAAAGATAAAAAATTTTAATGCATTTGATAAAAGTATAATTGCAATTAATATTTCAAATTTGAGACGAGCTATATATCTTACACTTTTATTTTAGATCTTACACTTAGTAATCTAAGTGAAAAGATCACCAGTTAAATTTATCTACGTTAACATATCTTACACTTTTATTTTATATATAATAACTCAAGTACAATTTTTAATATATTACTAATGTGGTCTTGTTTATTTAAAAAAAATTATTGTAGGACACGCGCAACGCGCGTACACTAAAACTAGTTATATTAAAGCACGAAGGCCCTTAACGAAATGTCATTCGTCTTTTTTACTCTTTAAAATTAAGTTTCACATTGGACAAAATAGTAATGAAATATTTCTCTAATATTTAGGACTTTGAAATCCATTACATTTTGTTATTAAATATTTCCGTATTTGAAAATCATAGAAAATCTTAATATTTAGAATTTTAAAACCGTTTATTATTTGATCTTATATAAATCTTTTTTCATATTTTAACTATGTAACAACTTTTTCATGTTAACTTTTCTAATATTTAATTTTGAAATCTAAATTATTATATAAATGTAGATTTATTAGCTTTGAAACTTAAGAGACTATTAAATTACATCCACATTAAGAAGAAAATAAATTCCTAGAATCCTAAGTAAATACCGAGAAGGTAAGAAATGTACACATATTCCCAAAATTTAGACATAAATAAGAAAGAAAGCAAACTAATAATAGAATTCTAAATTCTAATAATAGAATTTAAAATTCTAATGCAAAAAAGAAACTCTCCAATTGGAATTAACTTGTTCACCAGGACCAGGATACTAACCACAATATATTCTTACAAATCGTGTTCCTTCCGCAACAAAAAAAAATTGATGATCTGGAAGAGAATATTACGTTTTACAAGCATTACTCTTTTAAATAACTCTCGCAGTAAATTGAGATGGGAAGAACAAGACAGTTTTGGTTTGTGAGAATTTGAGCATAGCCAACAGCTGAAGAAGTTAGATATTTTAACAAATATTTTGTGAATTCTTATGAGGTACGTTCCTCCAATAATTTTGTTTGTTTTGTTGCTTATGCTATTGAGTCTCTTCCATTACTCATATTATGCATATATATCGTGCTGCATAATATATATGATACTCTTTCGGAACTGAGTAAATTTGTAGTCCCAATTAAATAAAATTTTAAAAAATATTTGATTTAACGATATCCGAAATTTCAATGGTAACCTTTATTTTGCTAATACTCGAAATGTTTGTGTGATACTCATTTGGAATGTACATATATTTTCGGAACTTCAATCTAATGTAAAAAATAATTCCTTTTTATGGAGTACAATTTGTATTCTTTCATAATTTTGTATGAGATGCTAACGACTGACGGTTCCAACTGTATTTTTCTGTGTTCTTTGAGAGTGTTTTAGAACAAAATATTTTTCGATATAACTTAGTGTACAAATTAGTGCAAATATCTAAGTGTAGATGTTGAAACAATTGCTATTTATACGTGGAAAAGAAGTAAAAAGAAACCTAGGTTAGAAGGTACAAAAAAATAAACACAACATAATGGAGAAATTCGTAAAAACTTTTTTCACGAGAAAACAAACAAGCAAAAGTATTTTAACAGAATATTTATGTAATTTTCTTAAGAAGTTTTATTCATTGAGACGGTATACAGGCGCAACGCGCGTACTCAAAGACTAGTTACAATGTGAAAATGGTTGATAACCAAATATGTTACATGTGAAACTTTTAGCCTTCCTTTTTTTTTTTTCTAAGACCTCTTTTGTTCTCACTTAATGAATGATTGAATCTGAATGGTCTAGACCTCAAATCATTAGGTGCACTTATTTTTATTAAGATTTAACCATTTGGAACTTTTTCGTCCCTATTAATCGAATAAGAATATGGCAATCCACTATACTAGAGCTGCAGCGTGGCCTAATCATATTCCAACATTTTCTGTAGTTCTACCAAAATGTCAATCAATACACTTCCACTTGATATAGTATCTTTTTTCTCCTTCTTTACTTGCTGTAGCAACTTTACATTCCAATAATATGGCTGCCCTGACGTGGAAAACCCCTTAATTTTACTACATATTTAACTTTCGTTTACATTTACCATCCAAGTGGCTCTCCAATGGCTTAACGAACAGCTCCAATCCAGCAACAAGCAAAATGAGGCAAGTAGTAGGGGGTAAAAACATGTCGTAGAGGCTAAGGAACGAAGTTACCTCCTATTAGAACCTGAAAAACTAGCAAAAACTACTTTTTAAGCCTCGATATAACTGTCTTGCGAGTTCAAAGATAGATATAAAACATACCCTAAGAACCCTCGTTAATCAAATTGAATGTATGATTATTTCTGGAAGAGAAAACTGTTAGCGCGATTAAGCAAATAAGATTAACGGATATGATCCCCAACCCTTGGCAAATAGTACTAAACATTTGTATATTTGTTATCTCATTGAATACTTCAGCTTCGTGTGATAGAATCCTGTCCTATTTCCAGTGTGACCAACTGCAATAGTTACTTTCTCCCCTTCTAATTGAAAGGGTCTCTTTACATTTTGCCAGGAAAAATAAAGAACCAAGAGATAATTGGAAAATAAATGGCAGTAAGCAAAAGAGAAAGAAGCAACCTGTAAAGAGCTAAATGCTGAGGAACTAAATACATTACAATTGAGGTATGATATAAATATGTGTCAAATTCCTTCCTTGACATGAGCCTTCCTCAGGTTCAGGGACTTGTATATGTACTCCCTACAATGTAAACAAGGTCCTTAAATACAATAGAGGGTACAGAAAGAGCAAAGAGAAGACCACACACTTCAGGTATTTTATACATGTAGCAACGGAGAGATCAACTAGTCAGATAATTAAGCTTAGCTCACTTGTTAACAAGCTTCCCCAGATGCGAGTGATGAATGGGGCAGGGCAAGCGGATTTGACACCAAGGAATATAGAGCTCACTGCCCAAAGAATGGTCAAAACTAGAGTGCAGGCATTAGCTGGTCTCATCATACCGGCTTAAAAATTGGATTATACAAGGATATACATGTTCTGCAGCCTGCAGACACCAGGAAGAGTAAAAGCTGTTATGCAACAACAAATGGAAAAATATTAGCAAAGCACATGTGAAAGATGCCTATTTCACGGAGTTGAGAAAGTAAATAACTTATAATGTATTCTCTATTCTAGGTATATTTAACTCTTCCGGTTTGCATAAGAAAACAAAAAACAGGAAAGGTGTATCCCAATGTAACTAGGCACCTCTCATCTTCCAGCGTCTTTCTACTCTTCACCATCCTTTTGTACTCCATCTATCAATCAATCAATCAACTGTGCCTCAATCCTAAATCAGTAGGGGTTGGTTATAGAATCGTCCATATCCAATCCGGACTATATGGGTTCATCTCATTCTAATACAAAATAATTTGAACTTCAAAGCAAATTAGGGTTCCTCTAAAACTCACATTTATTCCCACACAATTACAACAACAACAACCCAGTGAGTTCCCACAAGTGTGGTCTGGGGAGGGTAGAGTGTACGCAAACCTTACCCCTACCCCGGAGAGTAGAGAAGTTTCCGAAAGACCCTCGGCTCAAGAAAACAAGACAAGAGAGACAAGTGAGAGAGACAATATGTCAGTACCATCAAATGACCATATGAGTAATAACAGCATAAGAACCAGAAAATATATGAAAAACAATAACAAAACCAGTGAATAAAGCCCGATACTATGAAAAACGAAAGAATAGTATGGACACAACAATAATCGGTAGCAGCACACCCCACCCCCCCCCCAAACGAACCTTATCAGCTACCTCCTAACCTAACATCCTAATGTTCGACCTCCACACCACTCACACCTCCTGACTGTGGCATCTGGTCTTCTCCTTCGCACGTGCCCGAACCATCTAAGTCTCGCTTCCTGCATTTTTTCATCCACAGGGGCCACACCCACCTTTCTCCCGAATATCTTCATTCCTAGTCTTATCCATCCTAGTGTACCCGCACATCCACCTTAACATCTTCCTCTCTTCTACTTTCATCTTCTGGATATGTGAGTTCTTAACTGGCCAACACTACCCCATACAACATGACCGGTCTGACCACCGCTGGGTAAAACTTATCTTTGAGTATCGGTGGCATTTTCTTGTCACACAGGACTCCAGATGCTAACCTCCATTTCATCCACCCCACCCCTATACAGTGTGTAACATCCTCGTCGATTTCCCCATCCCATTGGATAACCGACACAAGGTACTTGAAACTGCCTCTCCTGGGGATGTCCTGTGATCCAAGCCTCACGTCCAAGCCCGTTTCTCTCGACTCAACGCCGAACTTGCACTCCAGGTATTCCGTCTTAGTCCTGCTCAACTTGAAACCCTTAGACTCAAGGCCTGTCTTCAAACCTCCAGTCTCTCGTTAACGCCGCCTCGCGTATTATCAATCAGAACTATATCATCAGCGAACAACATACATCATGGCACCTCCCCTTGAATATGTTATGTCAGTGCGTCCATCACCAGAGCAAATAAGAACGGGCTAAGCGCAGATCCTTAGTGTAAACCTATAACTGGGAAGTGCTCCGAGTCGCCTCCCATAATCCTAACCCGAGTCTTAGCTCCATCATACATGTCCTTAATCGCCCTAATGTAGGCAGCCGACACACCTTTTGCCTCCAGGCATCTCCAAAGAACCTCCCTAAGGACCTTGTCATACGCTTTCTGCAGGTCAATAAACACTATGTGCAGATACTTATTTCTATCCCTGTATTGTTCCACCAACCTCATAATAAGGTGGATCGCTTCCCTAGTCAAACGACCCGGCATGAACCCGAACTGGTTGTCGGATATAGACACCGTCCTCCTCACCCTCACTTCCACCACTCTCTCCCACACTTTCATAGTATGACTCAGTAACTTGGTACCCCTATAGTTGTTACAACTCTGGATATCACCTTTGTTCTTGTACAACGGTACCACCGTGCTCCACCTCCACGCATCTGGCATCCTCTTCATCCTGAAAATAACATTAAACAACCCGATTAGCTACTTTAAGCCTGCTCTACCCACATACCTCCAGAAGTCTACCGGAAGTTCGTCTGGCCCGGTTGCTCTGCCCCTACTCATCTTACGCATAGCCCCCACTACCTCCTCAACCTTAATGCGCTTACCATGCCCAAAGTCTCGGTGACCCTCAAAATGCCCCAATTCACCTAGCGCAATATCCCGATCCCCATCTTCATTCAGAAGTTTATGAAAGTATGTCCGTCATCTCCGCTTAATCTGAGCCTCTCCCATTAAAACTCTACCATCCTCGTCTTTGATGCACCTCACTTGGTCCAGATCCCGAGCCTTCAATCTCGCCTTGGCCAGCCGGAATAACTTCTTTTCCCCGCTTTTGTTCACCAGTTCCTCGTATAGACGACCAAACGCTGCAGTCTTAGCCTCCGTGACCGCCAACTTCGCCTCCTTCCTAGCTACCTTATATCTCTCCAAATTCACTCGCCTCTCCTCCTTGCTTGTGCTACTAACTTCAGGCACGCCGCCTTCTTCGCTTCCACTTTACCTTGGACCACTTCATTCCACCACCAGTCGCCTTTGTGCCCGCCAGAGAAACCCTTCGAGACCCCTAACACCTCTCTCGTCGCCTCCCTTATACAGTTCGTCGTCGTCGTCCACATAGCGCTCGTGTCCCCGCCACTCCTCCAGGCTCCCATAACTGACAACCTCCCCTCCAACTCCTAAGCTTTGTCCGTAGTCAAGGCTCCCCACCTAATCCTCGGCCATCCTCGTACAGACCTCTTCTTCCTCTTAATCATGATACGAACGTCCATCACCAAGAGCCTGTGCTGTGTCGCGAGTGACTCACCTAGGATAACCTTACAATCCTTGCACAGCCCTCTATCACACCTCCTGAGAAAGGAGTCTTCACCACCGTACTTTGGGAAGTGACCAAATGCTCCTCCCTCTTCGGGTTATTCCCACACAATTAACTAGTTTAAATTCTGTTAGTTCATTGTATAAATAGTAGTAAATAACCTTAATCCCATATGTATTAGAAGTAGGACATGTATTGTATATATATAGGGCTCATTGTATCATTGTCATAACTAATCAATAATATATTTTCTCCCGTGCTTTCTCACATGGTATCAGAGCTACCGTGAGAAATTTATCGTTGTGCGTCATTCCAGCGATATCCGGGAAGAAAGAACTCAGTCACCGTGCAATTTTCCGGTGACCTAAGTGACTATTTGCGTCAAAGTCACTAATTATCAGTGTTGTGCAAAATCCAACACCACCAAAAGGTCACCAAGAGAGATCCGACCAAACCCCAGAAAAGTTCACCTGAAAACACTCATCCACGCGCCCCCACGCGCCCTCCGGAGCTCTGCCGCCGCCGGCGCGTCTGTCCCACGCGCCGGCGCGTGAGGGCTGTTCCAGCCAGAATTTCAAAAACTTTCTTTTGGACAGTGTAATCGTCTTGTTTTTCCAAGCCTACCCATCAAGTTTACATCAGATTCCGATGACTTTTTTTTTTCCGGCGAGCTACAGTGTTTCCGGTGAACAGTAACAGTGAAAACAGTGATTTCCAAACAATTTTCTGACCTTTTCCGGCGTGAACATTATAATGTCATTCTTAGAAGCCTTAGACTCACAATTTGTTGGATCGAATGCATTAAATCCAATCCAGATGGTTTCTTTACTGGATTATATTGAGTTCCTTCGGTACAAAGCACGTAAACAGACATCTTCAGGATTAGCCTCCGTTGTTCCAACAAATAGTAGCATGACTGGTGTCTCCCAATCTTCACCTTCTGAGTCTTGGGTCATTGATTCAGGTGCATCTGATCATATTTCTGGTAACAAATCTCTTTTCACTAGTATCTCATATTCTCAATCTATTCCAACAGTCACAATGGCCAATGGGTCTCAAGCCATGGCAACAGCAATAGGTCAAGCAAGTCCACTTCCTTCCTTACCTTTAGACTCAGTTCTTTATGTTCCTGGTAGTCCTTTTAATCTCATAGCCGTTAGTCGTTTAGCCAAATCACTTAAATCTACTGTTTTATTTCTTGATGACCTTGTGTTTATACAGGAACACAGTACAGGGCGGATCATTGGTACCGGACGTGAATCAGATGGACTTTATTACCTTATCCTTGCAAAATCACATAGACTCGCATCTTGTCTTCTTCCAATAACTTCTCCCGTTACTGATTCACCAGATTTATTACATAAACGGTTAGGACATCCCAGTTTGTCAAAACTTCAGAAAATGGTACCTGGCTTATCTCACTTGTCCACTCTAGAGTGTGAGTCGTGTCAGCTTGGTAAGCATACCCGCTCCCATTTCCCGCGGCGTCTTGACAATCGAGCAGAGTCACCTTTTACTTTAGTCCATTCAGATGTTTGGGGTCCTAGTCGGGTTAGCTCTACCTTAGGATTCCGCTACTTTGTCAGTTTCATTGATGATTATTCTAGGTGCACTTGGATATTTTTGATAAAAAATCGATCTGAGTTGTTTTCTATTTTTCAGACCTTCCATGCTGAAATTCAAAATCAATTTAGGGTTTCTATTCGCACATTTCGTAGTGATAATGCCCTAGAGTATTTGTCTTCCCCATTTCAGCAATTTATGAACTCCCATGGGATTATTCATCAAACATCTTGTCCGTACACATCCCAACAAAATGGGGTAGCTGAAAGAAAAAATAGACATCTTATTGAAACTGCTCGTACCCTACTTATACAATCTCATGTTCCGCTGCGTTTTTGGGGGGATGCAGTTCTTACATCTTGTTATCTTATTAATCGTATGCCATCTTCAGCTATCCAACATCAAGTTCCATTCTCTGTCCTGTTTCCCAACTTACCTTTGTTCTCTCTTCCACCCCGTGTCTTTGGGAGTACGCGCTTTGTTCATGACCTTACTCCAGGAAAAGAAAGTTAGCTCCTCGTGCTCTTAAGTGCATATTTCTGGGTTACTCGAGAACGCAAAAGGGATACCGATGTTATTCTCCTGACCTCCAGCGATTTCTTATATCTGCTGATGTTACCTTCTTTGAAACCCAATCATACTTCACAGGTCCAGTTAATCACTTAGATATTTCTGAGGTGCTACCTGTTCCTTCTTTTGGAGATTCAGTCTCTATCTCCATCTCCCATTCATCTTCCTCCATAGCTCCACCGCCTATAGTTCCAGTTACAGCAACTATAGCTCCAGTGCCACCACCTAGTCGAGTTCAACCTTCTACAGCTCCACCACTCCTGACTTATCATCGTCGTCCGCCCCCAGCATCAGGCCCAGCTGATTCACGTCCTGCACCAGACCCTGCTAATACTGCGGACTTGTCTCCTCTTAATCAACCGATTGCACTACTAAAAGGTATACGGTCCACAGTTAATCCTAATCCTCATTATATCGGTTTAAGTTACCATCGGCTCTCATCATCCCATTGTGCATTTGTGTCATCTTTGTCCTCTGTTTCCATTCCTAAGTCTACAGGTGAAGCATTGTCTCATCCCGGATGGCGACAGGCTATGATTGACGAGATGTCTTACATACGAGTGGTACTTGGGAGCTTGTTCCTCTTCCTTCAGGTAAATCGACTGTTGGTTGTCGTTGGGTGTATGCAGTCAAAGTTGGTCCAGATGGCCAGGTTGATCGACTTAAGGCTCGTCTTGTTGCCAAAGGATATACTCAGATATTTGGACTCGATTACAGTGATACTTTCTCTCCCGTGGCTAAAATTGCATCAGTCCGCCTTTTTCTATCCATGGTTGTTGTTCGCCATTGACTTCTCTATCAGTTGGACATTAGGAATGCTTTTCTTCACGGTGACCTTGAGGATGAGGTTTATATGGAGCAACCACCTGGTTTTGTTGCTCAGGGGAGTCTAGTGGCCTTGTATGTCGGTTGCGCCGGTCCCTCTCTGGTCTAAAGCAGTCTCCTCGAGCCTGGTTTGGTAAGTTCAGCACAGTTATTCAGGGGTTTGGCATGACTCGTAGTGAAGCTGATCACTCTGTATTTTATCGACATTCTGCTTCAAATCTCTGTATTTATCTGGTCGTTTATGTTGACGATATTGTTATTACCGGCAATGATCAGGATGGTAGTAGTAAGTTGAAGCAACATCTCTTTCAGCACTTTCAGACTAAGGATCTGGGCAGATTAAAGTATTTTCTGGGTATTGAGGTCGTTCAGTCTAGCTCAGGTATTGTGATCTCACAACGGAAGTATGCCTTAGATATTCTTGAAGAGACAGGAATGACAGGTTGTAGACCTGTTGACACTCCGATGGATCCGAATTCTAAACTTCTGCCAGCACAGGGGGAGCCTCTTAGCGATCTTGCAAGATATAGGCGGTTGGTTGGTAAATTAAATTACCTCACAGTGACTAGACCTGACATTTCCTTTCTGTGAGTGTTGTGAGTCAGTTTATGGATTCTCCCTGTGATAGTCATTGGGATGCAGTTGTCCGCATTCTTCGATATATAAAATCAGCTCCAAGCAAAGGCTTATTGTTTGAAGATCGAGGCCATGAGCAGATCGTTGGATACTCAGATGCTGATTGGGCAGGATCACCTTCTGATAGACGTTCTACGTCTGGATATTGTCTTAGTAGGAGGAAATTTGGTGTCTTGGAAGAGCAAGAAACAGAATGTGGTTGCTCAGTCTAGTGCAGAAGCAGAATATCGAGCAATGGCTATGGCCACATGTGAGCTAATGTGGATCAAACAGTTGCTCAAGGAGTTGAAATTTGGTGAGATTAGTCAGATGGGACTTGTGTGTGATAATCAAGCTGCTCTTCATATTGCGTCAAACCCAGTGTTCCATGAGAGAACTAAACACATCGAGATTGACTGTCACTTTGTTAGAGAAAAGATACTCTCGAAAGATATTGCTACAAAATTTGTGAAGTCGAATGATCAGCTTGCTGATATTTTCACCAAGTCCCTCACTGGTCCTCGTATTAGTTATATATGTAACAAGCTCGGTACATATGATTTATATGCACCAGCTTGAGGGGGAGTGTTAGTTTCATTGTATAAATAGTAGTAAATAACCCTAACCCCATATGTATTAGGAGTAGGACATGTATTGTATATATATAGGGCTCATTGTATCATCGTCATAACTAATCAATAATATATTTTCTCCCGTGCTTTCTCACAAATTCAATCAGTTAGAATCACCCATATAGTTCCTTCGCTTATATTGTATTCTGTTCTCCTTTATGTATTCCAAAAGAAGCAAGCACGTTATTAAAGTGTTACATACCATGCGTCCTCCCACTAAGTCATAATGAGCAAAATGTGGACCATTAGCATCCCCCAATACGTTGTAGGTAACCAAGTGCTCCGGGATGAGCTTTGCAGTTTCTGCATGAACCAATATGTTGCAAGAGAAGAATTGTTAGAAAGCTTACCATCCTCAGACAGAACAATGAGTGCCAAAGTACTGTGAAACATACCATACACTGCTTCTGGTGGGCAGATTATGTCTTTATCTCCAGCAAGAGCCAGCACGGGTACATTGCTTTTGTGAAGATTATCCTTATAGAAAATTTTACCACTTCTGTCGCGGAGTCCTCCTTCTCGAAAAGCTGTAGTCAACTGCAAAATAAGTTTAGCAGGAATAGTACCTGCCAGAAGATCTATTAGAAAATTTATAGTGAAAGGTTCATGTGAAATCTTAAGAGGACATAGAGACAGTCGTGATCCTCTAAAGAAACTCTACAAAAGCAAGTGAAATTTCTGAATTACCTCACACTACAGCCTATATAAACCAGAATGGATCAACTATCCCTTACTTTGAGGTAAACAGACTTTCAAATGAAGATCATATATCAACATCATTCCAGTGTCATGAGAACAGTTACACAGGGAGTAGAACTTGTGGGAGCAAAGAGTCGATAGCTCGTATAAATATATTGATATATGCAGCTCGTTGACAAAAGATAAAAGTATCTAGCTGGAACTGGACGATACATCTGATGTTTAGTTGATGTACTTTTCTTATTCCATCTGAAGATGTCAACAGTCCTCCATTGCTCATACTTCACGTGAACAAATAAGAGTAAGAATCAAATTTGACATGATTAGTCTTCACTTATTACCTTCATTGCTAAGAAGTCGATAAGGCTAAATTATATATCAAAATTCACATTTGGCTTGCCAAAGATCAACCTCAAACTTCGGCTGATCTTCCTTGTATAACTATATGACTATCATGAGAGATGAGATACTAGCAACAATGAGTACATGTGCTATCCTAACAGAATGCATGAGAAGGTATATGAAATATGGAAGATTAGTTCAACTCATAATCAACATATCATCCAGACAGAGGGGGAGAGGAACAAGACGTTTTAAAAGCCATAGATGCAACAACTGGTACGCAAACACAGCAGGCAGGAACTTGGGCCATAGCCAGATGGTGTCATTGAATCATTCTTCAAAACATGTAAGTTTCTCATACTGTTTCTGTTTGTCTCTAAATATACTTTAAATATCCATAACCTAAGTGATGAAACATGAACCTTGCCTGCTCTCCATATAAATGAGTAATAAAACAAGATGACCATAAATTTGTACAATTCACGATTAATGAAAAAGCAAAGGTCTACTTATTGCCCATGTGAGCACTTACAGAAGTTATTCAAGACAAGCTTTTTCAGCAACTCTGGATGCATCATGTCTGTAGCCGATATCATATCATTCAGCCAAGACAACACATAAGGAGGGCGAGATGAAAGAGGATAAGCTGCAGCGAGTAATGCCCCTAAAGGAACAACAGGTACATTGAGAGCCTGGGCAGGATCAGCCTGCAGCAAAGGTAAATAAATATAGGAATATGCAGAAAGGGCTTTCTGCTGCATAACAACAGTTGAAAACATTTATTTTCAGCTTACAAGGGGTACAAGCAGTTTGAGTGCAGACTTCGAAGATGTGTAATCCAGTGATGAAGCCAAAGTTACAATAGCAGCTAATCCAGTTTCTCTTCCTTCCAATCCTTTCCAAGGTAAAACCAGAAACAAATAAAAAAATTCTCATATCTATTTTGATTCCCAGAAGAAAACCGAAGTCTGAAAATATATTTTTTGAGATTGTGCCCATTAACAAGGAATCAGAGGAATGGAGGACCAATCAAATTCTAAATATTTGATTCAGATATGTTCATGTTGAAAGAAACGGTAGTGAAGAGCAATTAGTATCTAGGCTCTTCATGAAACATGTGTTATCGTCCAACTTAAGATTTCCATATTTTCCATTACATTTCATAGCATATCCAATGCATGAAAATCTAAGAGACTTCTTAATAATTTCACAGGATTTATTTTATCTTTGAAACATGTTATCATCCAACTCTGGCAGGTTCTAGGAATAAGTTCCTAAAATATACTGCTTTCTTTATTTAATTAACATTTGAATATTACTGTTTTCTTACCAATTGCAACAACAGGAAAGACTCCTTGTCAGTATTTCAAGACTCTTGCACGTTAATTTACTAGCCTATCTTAAGTGGCTCATGACTAGACCTGCCATATCACCAATGATTAACAACGTTAATTCTATATAAACAAGAAATGAATCTTACCACACTGTGATTGCCTAGCATACAGCAATATTCCTCCCATAGAATGTCCAATGGCAAGAAGTTTACCATCTTTTGGTGCAGTTTGGGCCTTTATGTATTCCATCTAGAATGGAAATAAAATAATTATCAATCGTCTGAATAAAAAAGAAGACTAAAAAGGAAAAAAAAAGTTCTGAATTTTGGTTGTGTCATCTCGAGGACATTAACATCTTTATGTTCTACAATATGGAGATCTGTCACCTCACCGCAGCTGGAACATCCTCTTCCAGGTAATGATCGAAGTCCCAATCATACTTGACAATCAAGTCAAGCTGTTTCTGGAAATCTTCTATGGTAGTGGTTAGACGCTCATGCAGATCAACTAATGGTGGTGAAACAGAACGTTGACCTTCTTCGATGATATTTACTAGCTTTTGACTAAGATCCTTTATTTGGTCAGCAACTGCAGAATTTTGCCTTGTCTCCAGCAGACTTAACAACTTCCCTCTTGTCTCATTAAAGCGTTCATAAAGAAATGAATCCTCTAACAATTTTGATATTTGATCAAATAGTTTAGCGGACATAATCCTTGACTGGCTTTCATTGAGGAAACCAGAGACTCTCTCTGACAAGAGCATAAATGTTTCTGTAAGCTGGTTCACTACTCTCGACTCATCCCACATTGTTGAAATAGCAGTGGGTTCTTCTTTGACCAAAGCTATGTCAGACTCTTCTAAGGAACTCTGCACATCTGTTGACTGCTGTGCTGCAGAAAGAGCTTTCTCAGTAGCATTATCAGCGGCAGCTTCCATCTGTTTTGAGACTGCATTCGCAGACTTCTCAATGTTTGTGGCATCTGGTTCCTGCACACTCAACCCAGCTCCTCGAAGTTCAAGAACCCACGTGTCAAATCCTTCCCCAGACATGTAACGGGCAAAAGATGACTGCATAATATTTTTAAAAGTAAAGATCGTGATTAAATAACTTTATTCCTGATTCCCAAGTATTATGTAACACTTTCAGAAAGTAATAACAGCAGCCAGCCATATAATGACGAATTCAACTTTTGCTCAGATTCAAAAAAAAACAGTTTTCAATTAAAAGAAAAGCGAAATTATATATTAGGCGACTCAACTTTTATATGCTTGAAATGCATAAAGAATGGGAAAACTAGTAAGAGAAGCGCGATCCTTTAATGGAACCTGACATATCCCCTAAGCACTGATGATATACACATTCCATGTTTGTGTCATTAAGATCTATTTAACGTTAGGTAACTATCAATGAAATATCGATCAAATCCTCCAGTTCACCAATACAGGCATGGATTCCTAGATTAGAATGTCCGCAACTATTATTATTAGGCAACATTGCACATACAACAAAACAGAAGAAGGGGCAAAGAACGGGGAGGAGGCAGACGAGTATAATACCCCAGGAGCAAGATCATATCCAATAGCATTAGTCCCCACGCCAGACAAGAGCAGCAGCGGATGATTTCTCTTTGGAGCCTGTTGTCATTGAAAATCACATACCCTTAATGCAAAGCTCAAATATTTGAAGAAAAAATGCATAAAACAGAGCTGTTAAACCTTCCTAGTATCCCTCTATTCATTTTATGAAACAGTATTCGACAGAACAGAGAATTAAAAAACTTTGAATAGTTTAATAAATTTTAAAACTGTGTCCAGATAGCCTAAATGTCTTAATTTCAGATTCTACATGACCATATTTGATTGATCACAAAATAAAACATTTGACCAGTCCATCGAATTTGAAGTAATATAGAAATGAGCAAAGTCTCAAATATGTTTTGCAAAAATGTCATGAAATTTGAAACATAATACTTACTCACTCCATTCCACTTTCCGTAACTAATTTTAAGTGTAAATTCGGACATACAACTTTCTAATTTTTTGAAAGAAAATTCATATATTTAGAGAGTAGATAAAAAGTTTCACTATGGTTAACAATTCAAAATATCTAAAAAGTATTTGAAAAAATTGTGGACCTCTTTCAAATAGTAATTGTGTACATTAACTGGAACAGGTGTCACATAATAGTAATTGTGTCACATAAACTGAAACAGAGTACTTATGTATTATGGTTTAAAGAATAAGAGCAATGGTTCTAATACAAAAAAATGGGACCTGCGGAGGAGGAATGTAGCGCCAAAGAGCAAGTTTCCAATCGCAATTATTAACAGATACATAGTGAAGTTCATCGGCAGTGCATATAGGTGGCTTGTTAGAAACCTTCTGGATTGCTGCACGTTGAATTGCAGTGTCGCTATTATTAGTGGATAAAGCTCTAAGTTTAACCGTAAAGCAGCAGCTCGGAGCGTTGCGGTAGGAAATGACGGCGGGTGGAAGTAACCGGCGGTGACAAATAAGGTGGTGGTGGTAGTGCTGGCTGTGGCGGAAAACGGCGGCGATTTGAATCGCCGACCGAATATCAGATTGAATTGGATAGCCCATTTTGGGAATTCGGGAAATGGATAATTTTAATTGGATAAGGAAATTGGTTTGATAATCTTTACTCTTTTGGAAGGGAAGATGTGTTTTTTGACTTTGGAATGTTTGAGATGCTAAGCCTTTTTTTTCGTATAATTTGATTTTCTTTTTTTCTTTTTTGTGTGTTGAGATAAAAGGAACACGTCATGCCACGCTTTTACTTTTATTCCTTTGTCACTTTATATTATTATTGAACTTTTTTGATAAACCGAAAACGTACAAAGAGTCAATATAATAAGCAAAAGAAAATAAAACGTACAAGCAATCTTGTTGAACAATAATGAATCAAAATGTCTTGTCAATTTTCTTAACAATTCATAACTCTTGAGAATTTATGTCTTATATTATCCTTGCATTTAGGTCTTATGGAACAACAACATAATAATAATAATAAAAGCTATAGTTAATAATAATAATAATAATAATTTTTGAAATAGTAAGGTAATAAAATAAATAAATGATCACATCTCTGTCGTTTTTGGCTACTAGTCTTAAAGTATACGTGTCGCGCGTGTATCCATCTCGGTGAGTATAAACTTTTAAAATCACATAAAAATTATATGAGAAAAGTGTTTGAGTCATAAAATAAAAGTTAAAGAGAAAATAAAATTTTCGAAAATAATATTGTTGATCCTATTTAACTAACTTAATAAAGGTAAAAACTTTGTCGACGTAGTTCTCATTCATCTCGCTTAATCTATTCATCTTGAAATTCATCTCAGTTTTATAATTTATTAACATTATAAATAAAATAATTCTTTTGCATATTATAAAATTTTAATAGCTTTCTTTTATCTATACTATCATTTTTATAAATAAATTATTCGTAGATTTAAATCATCTAATGTTGGATCGTCTTGAACAAATTAATTAATAATTTCATTGCTTAAAATTAAATGGCCAATTCAGAAAGCACACTAATGCTGATAGACTTGAGCAAGTACTATATTAACAAATTAGCTATACTTTCTAATACCATCTAATGCAACTATTGCTAGAATCGCCCATTGGATTTATGTATGCCCCAGTTAGGAGGTGTGAGCGGTTGGCTTTGGCAGGTACGAGAAGAGGCAGATGGTGGCCTAAGAAGTATTGGGGTGAGGTGATCAGGCAGGACATGGCGCGTGTAACGACCCGGCCGGTCGTTTTTGGAAATTTCGCCCCGATCCCCCATTAACTGTTTCCCCTAAGTTCATTTCTGCTATTTTGGTTTGCCGGGACGTTCGGTGTTGAGTTTTGGAGAGTTTTGGGACACTTAGTCCCTAAATGAGAGCTTAAGAGTTGAAAAATGGTTCGTAATCAGAACAGTGTGAAGACGACCTCGGAATGGAAATCTGATGGTTCTGTTAGCTCTGTTAGGTGATTTCGGGGTTGGGAGCGTGTTCGGAATGTATTTTGGAGGCTCGTAGCTCATTTAGGCTTGAAATGCCGAAGTTTGAATTTTTGAAGTTTCCGGTCCGATAGTGAGTTTTTGATCCGAGGGTCGGATTGGAATTTCGGAAGTTGCAGTAGTTCCGTCATGTCATTTGGGATGTGTGTGCAAAATTTCAGGTCATTCGGACGAGGTTCGGGTAGGTTTTTGATCGAAAACGTGTTTGGTTGGAATTTGAAGTTCTTAGGCTTGAATCTTTGATTAATTCGGGTTTCCGGCGTTGTTTAGGTGTTTTCAGGATTGGTACAACTTTGAATAAGGTATTAGGTGGTATTGGTACTTTTGGTTGAGGTCCCGGGGGCCTCGGGATGATTTCGGGTGGTTAACGGAAGAGTTTTGGAAGTTGAGAAATAGCAGCACTGCTGCTTCTGGTATCTTTCCGCTTCTGCGGCTTGGGAACCGCAGAAGCGGCCTTGGTCGTCGCAGAAGCGAGATTTTCCCTCCCTCTCAGGAACCGCAGAAGCGGTCGCCTTTCCGCTGAAGCGGAACCGCAGGAGCGTTATGTGTCCGCAGAAGCGGACTCTGGTCCATTAAGTGAAAACCGCAGAAGCGGTTGTTTTTCCGCATATGTGGGATCGCAGAAGCGGTCCCTTGTCCGCAGAAGCGGAAATCCCTGGGCAGAAATAGAAATTTCGAGGGTTTGAGTTCAGAAGTTACAAAAATCAATTGAGAGCTCGGTTTAAGGCGATTTTGAGTGGGATTTGAAGTGAAGATCACTGGATTTGAGCCATTTGGAGTCGGATACTCGTGGCAAGAGCGTGATTTCTAGTTGATATTGAGCCGGTTCGAGGTAAGTGGCTTGTCTAACTTTGTGTGGGGGACCTTTTTCCTTTAGGATATGATCTTGAATATTTGAATGCCCCGTACGTGAGGTGACGAGCGCGTACTTGAGCTAATTGTTGTAAATCCGTTTCTACTTGAAGTATTTAAATTGAGCTTTCTTGTTTACTTGTTCATTTTAACTGCAAGTTTGTACCTGTGCTAGCTTAGAGACTCATGTTTAGCTGGCTTACCTGCTTATTTGCTTTAACTGTGCTATTTGTACTCTGTGAAGCATGTTAGGCTATAATTTACTACTTCGTGTCCTGATTTTTAGCATTGTTCCGAGATTTAGGAATCGTTGTTGTTGTGTGTTTAATTTGGGACTACGGGACGGCTTCCCGGGAGATCCCTCTGTACTTGAGATATTCTGGACTGAGGGTGCGGGATACCAAGAGATCCCTGGCACATGTGTTTCTATATATATATTGGGATACCAAGAGATCCCCGGTTTACTTATTGAGGATACCAAGAGATCCTCGGGATACTAAGAGATCCCCGACTTACTTATTGAGGATACTAAGAGATCCTCGGGATACCGAGAGATCCCCAGTGTTGATGATAAGGATACTAAGAGATCCTCGGGATACCAAGAGATCCCCCGGCTACTATTCCTTGTGAGGGCAGTTTTCCGTGTATTGTTACCTTTGCTTTCTATTACTGTTCTTCCTTATTTACCTGGTTTAGATTCTCGTTATAGACTTTATTTAAACTATTTCTGTTATCTCATTATTTATTATGTTATCTCAGTAGGGCCCTGACCTTCCTCGTCACTACCCAACCGAGGTTAGGCTTGGCACTTACTGAGTACCGCTGTGGTGTACTCATGCCCTTCCTGCGCATGTTTTTCATGTGCAGATCCAGGTACTTCCTCCCAGACGTATCATCCTCGTGGTGGAGAGTCCTAGCTGAGACTTGAGGTATATCTGCTACGTTCGCAGACCAGGAGTCTCTACTCTATTCCGGCTTTAGCAGATAGTTCTTTTTCTTTCCTTTCATGTTGTTCAGACATTCTGGTGTAGAGCAGTTTACTACATTCTATTAGCCTGTGTTTCCCGTGAGTTTCCGGGTTTTGGGATTTAGTTGCAGACTTCCGCATATTTCGAGTTGTATAGGCTGAGTGGCCTTGTATACAGTTGTTATTTCCGTATGTTCAGTTTTAATTTATTATTCCACAAATGTTAATTTGTTATTCCGCACTGTTAGGCTTACCTAGTTGTAGGAATTAGGTGCCATCACGACATGTTTCATGGAGGGTGAACTGGGGTCGTGACAGCGCGACTTCAGATTTTCGAGGACATGGCTATTGATAGGAACATGTGGAGGTCGAGCATTAGGGTGGTAGGTTAGGGTATAGTCGAGAGTTCTTCCCTCTTTGTACCGGGTAGTCTGATAGAGTTTTATTTAGGTTTGTTAGCGGTCTATGTTGTGTTCACATTGTTGTTTTGCATAGTTTTGTGTTATTGTCCTTTCACTTATTCGTTGCTCTTATTTTCTTTCTGGCATCTTTTTGTTACAGGCTTTTTCTTTTGTTTCTTTTCTGATATTATTATCCCTTCTGTTGAGCCGAGAGTCCTCCGGAAACAGCCTCTCTACCTTTTTTGGGGGTAGGGGTAAGGTTTGCGTACACTCTACTCTCCACAGACCCCACAAGTGGAATTATACTGGGTATATTGTTGTTGTTGTTGTTGTTTTAATATAACAAACATATATATATATATATATATATATATATATATATATCAATTATAACATAATTATAAATATATTTTACATGAAAAAGAACTACATTGATGGTATTTCTATATACACAAAAAGATGCTTAAAAAGTCTCCACGATAAGTAGAGGATAGAACATACTCATCAATAATCACAAAGTGCATATATACCTGGGATTTTAACACATCTAAGACCAATTACCCGAGAGTTCAAATCAAATTCTAAATCTAATTATATTTCATGGTAAAAAAAGTTAAAAATATTTGAATAAACAATCTCAGAAAATAGTACATGAATCTTCACATAAAAAGCTCTAAAAGAATGAACAAATAATTAAATAAATATCAAAGTTACCTTAGTATAACTAAGGTTCCGTATCTCTTGCAGTAATATTGGTCTAATTTTTCTCTTTTGGTACATCACTAAAGTGATAGACATCTCTTTGACAGATTAAACTATTTTCACTAAAACAACAAATAGTCATATATAATTAGTTTATATACTCCCACAATTACATGGAAAATTAGAATAAACCAACCCAACACATGCAAAAAGAAGAAGAAGAAGAATTAGAACAAGAACTAACTGAATTTTACTATCTGGAAATAAATATCGCTTTGCTAGGTCTGGCTTCGTTTATGCGGTGCTATAGTCCAAGTAGGTTTGATGGTAATGGAATTTTATGTTTCATAAGAAAATCTAAAATTTCTTCATTTATAAATATTAGGAAATACAATATGGAATGTATTATAATTTTGGTTTATTAATTCAAGTAAGTAAATAATTTATATAAGGTATTATAGTTATGTTATTAATTAATTGATTTAATATCCTAATATTAGTACTTTTTTCTAGTTCAAATAAGGCAATACTTACGGTAGACATCGAAATTTGAAGGGATCAAGCCAAATCCTAAATTAAAGATACTACAGGATTCTTGAAATCCTAGGAGTCTATTAGGGTTTCTTGGAGGTTACTCTACCCTAAACCCTAACTCACACCTATATAAAGGGACACATATTCCCTTGAAGAGGTGTCTCAAAATGCCATAAACGCTTGGGATATTCACAAAGAGACCAAAATATGGCCGGATACTTCTTGACAAAGGTTCTAGTATAGATAGGGAGTGAAAGTTCATAACATTACTTGGGATGGGAAAATCAAATAGTTCAAGAAGCA